TTGCAAACATCACACTGTTAGCTGAGAAAGAATAAGAAAAATCCTAGATGCTCTTTGCCCAAATTAATGAGGTCTAGATGAGCTACACTGGTATTCTTCAGGACACAAATGGAAATATTGGGTTGTTACATACAGGGCCACTAGAGAGAGCACACGTGCTTTACATGGAGACTCAGCATAGACAGGGATACCGGAGCAACCGCAAACCTGAACATAGTGATAAAGGAACCTGATGCAATGAAGGTGCCACCTCAGTATGTGGGGATGCAGAAGAAAGTTGACTCCACAGATAAGCTCAAACCCTGCACCTTTCAAAGGAAGGCCTGGTCCTTGACTAGCTCCTGGGGAATCCCCTCTAGACCCTTGGACTATCATGCCTGAGGAGTGTCTCTTGTACCTGAGGCTTTGTGCCATGACAGATAGTTTATGTTAACAATGTGATTTATGGTGGGGCCTTAGGTCATGCAGTACCAGCTTGATCTCTAGAAGGACTGGAGACTGAATAACTAAGTTTAGCCATGCAGGCCACGAAGGCACTCCATACGTACTCCATACCCCCACATATCCCCTGGACACCAAAACTTGGATGAGCTTTCCTGGCTGACAATACTCCATATGTGTTGTTAAACATTGTTGCTGGGAGGATTAGATGCTGACTGTGCAACCCCACTGAAAGCTTGTGCCTGGGCTCTCTTGGAATCTCTCTAGAGGTGCCTCTCACCTTTGCTGCTTTTCATCTGCATTCTTTTGCTGTAATAAATGCTAAACGTGCATATAACAGTTTTCCCGACCTCTGAGTTCTACTCGTGAATCATTGAACCTGAGGGTGCCCGTGGGGACCTCTGAATCCAGTGGGTCACACAGAAGAGGAATCAAGACAAGATGTCAATGAAAAGAACTCTCTAAACCTCCTCCTAATGATAAAGTTTTCATTATTGCCCACTTAAGGGTGCTTGGAAGATTATATAGTTCCCATACTATGGCAGATCTGATTGGTCGTACATGTTTTAGTTAACTGTATAGAAACAGTATATGTGAATCTCTCTACAGTATGAATTCAATTTTAATTTATGCTTTTGTTGTCTTTCAAAAGTCTCAAGTTTAAGTCACCTCAGGTATTATGTCAGATTCTACCTGACTGAACTGGTTTGTGCAGGCTAGGGTGCCCACACATCCCCAGTTTTTAAATTGTCAGGGTTGCCTCAAGCATTGTAGGAGTTTCTTGAGCATGAACACTAGATTTCCATGACTTTGAAGCAGGCAAGGAGTCCGGCGTTACTGTATTAATTGTGAGGCCTCTAACAAGAAACCTTCTACCTTCAATGTTTTGCGCATATTCACAGGAGGGGGAAAATGCTACTTCCAAGAATAACCACTTTAAATTAATTGATGATCTAGTTGGAGCCTGGGTGAAGTGTTCAAATGTAGCCCACTTGGGAGAAGAGCCAGAGTGATAGCGTATTCCTTGAAGTCATTGTTATGCCCTAGTGTTATTTTCAAGGTCTCACACAGACTTGCAGATATTCTCAAGGCATTTTTGCTTTAAGGCTGAAAAAAAAAAAGCAGAAGAAGAAGGAACTCAAGGTACTGAGACATAAACACTGTAGAGACATAAATTAAACCCTGTCAGCACCAACAACGGTCTAGGCTCTTCTGGAGAGCAAGTGTGCGGCAGGGCACCGGACAAGGGTCACTAGGGGTGAGCCTCAGAGGGTGGAAAGGACTCGTGCAAGACCCCATTGCTAGTTAGCAGCAAACTCTAGTGCGGAGCAGCCCCTATTTCTCCATTCACTGCCCAGTGCTCTTTTCCAAAACCCAGCTGTATCTAACGCATCTCTACAGCTTGTACGAGGCTAATTTAAACTCCTTAATAAGTTGTTCAGTAAATGTAACATGTTGTGTGCACAGAGACTTTAATGTGGCAGGGACAAAAGAACTATTGAATTATGTGTTTGCAAGATTTCCTATTTCCTCTCCTTATACCAGATAAAGGGATTTCTGTCTTTGATTTCTGACCAACCCCCATCTCCATTCCTAATGCCTGTATTTTTTCTTTTTTTTGGTCATGTAATGCAGGATGAAGGTGATGATAGAAAGAGAAGACAGGAAAGGTGAGATGGTGGACTTGCATGAGAAACAAGGACCCTGTGTTTGGGAAAGAAAAAAATAATGGAGGCAGAAGGAAAGCAAAATAAGCAGAAGAGGTAAATGGAAACACAGAGAAGAGCCAGAAAGCCTAATTTTAGGAGAGCTACTGAGTGATAAGTTGAAAAATGAAATAAAAAGAGAAGTTTTAAGATGATGGCTTGTGAGAAGTGAGAAATAGTGGAGGGCAGAAAGAATAAGAAGGGTTTCTAAGAAGTGTTGACATGGATCCCAGGTATCCCAGCTGGTATTCTTCAGGACACAAATGGAAATATTGGGTTGTTACATACACTGTTTTGTTTGCTTGTTCAAATGTAAAGCATTGCCAAGACTGAGCCCTATGAGCACCCGGCTTATATCTGGGTTATAGTAAGAAGGGATTTTCCACACAGTTTAATGTAATGCCATGATATTTAGAAGACCAGAGTCCCTTGAGGTAGTTCAGGTAGATGGCATGATAAAATGGCCAAACTATTGGTTTTGGGACTTTCTTTGCAGAGGTGAGAGAAAAAATCAAAGCTGATACCTGGAATATCTGGGAATAAATGAAGCCTTGAAGCTACCAGGGACAAGAAGAGAGGTACCATAATGAAACATACATTCTAGTACTTCACGGTGCCTTCTTTTGCATGAATTATTTGTATGCATTTTTCCTTTGGTCAATAATTTCAGTATTTGTATGGGGGCTGTCCTTTGTTTTATTTTTATTTGTCTTTTTAGCTTATGTGGGAGCTCTGTGGCTAAGAGATTTGCCCGAATTTACACAGAGAGCAACAATGCTTGGTCAGGCTGACTCCTGCTGTGTTTTTCCCTTGACCTTATTGCAAACATCACACTGTTAGCTGAGAAAGAATAAGAAAAATCCTAGATGCTCTTTGCCCAAATTAGTGAGGTCTAGATGAGCTACAGCATTTCGAGGACATCTGGGAATCACTCGGAGTTACGGGACCCTTTTGTGTAATGCATTCACTGCAAAATTACAACATAGTCAAGCTGTGTACTTACTGTGCGAGTGGGACACCCTTTTCACCCTCTGACAGATATATGTTGCATTCTTCAGAAACCAGGAATAGTTTTCAAGACAGTATCTAAAGATTTAAATCAGAGCAAGGAGCAATGACTATCCTGTGATGGCTATTAGAAGACAACCAGAGTTTTAAAGGTAAGCACATAAACATGAACTATATGGCCAATTATTCACAGCAAGGAACCCTCTGCCCATCTTTAAAGGGTGTCAGCGGAGAGATAGGAAAGAAGGCTGGGTAGGAAGAAGTTCAGACTTTGGGGCCAGCAAGACTTATTTTTAGCCCTAGCCCCACTACGTACTAGGATGCATGACTTCAGGGTGATAACTTAATTCTCTGGACTTAATTTTCTCATATATAAATGAAAGGCAATGATAGAACCTATACTCGCAGGTTATATGAGGATAAGATAACATATGTAAAGTTCCTGAACAGTACCCAGCATACAAGAGGTGCTCAATACATGGTGACACTTGTCTGTTTGTTTACTTATTTATTTTAGTGGGAGATGAAGAGAGAGAGAGTGGAGTGCTGCTATCATTACTAGTGCAGTAAACACTTTGCAAAATAACATTCTGTTCTTGGTCAGGGGCGGCAGGAGCTGCATCAAAGGGCTGTGGTGAAAAGATCACTCACCCAATTAATAGCAAGAAGAGTTTTCAGTGCAGGCTGTGCCAACTAGCTCATTGTATGACTCTGGGAATTCACTTCTCTTTCAATCTCTCACCCGATATGTGAGGAGGTTGGGCTAAACATTCTCTAATTTCTCTTCCGTCTCTATCATTCTGTGATTCTAGCATACCCTAGAGACTTGTGCAACTGATTGCTCAAGTCAAGCTTGTGGCAGAGATTTTCCAAGGCCTATCACCCCCAATTTATAGGAAAGTGCAAAGCTGAGGCAACTGAGGCACAGAGATTAAATGACTTCCCCAAGGGCTTTCTGGTGGTAGTGTTGGATTTTAACCCAGGTAACTACTTTCTGCCGGAACACACTGCCATTCTGGTGGGCAATAAGATCAATATTTGAGTCAGGACCCTGCCAGGAACACAGGACTTGGTGGTTCTATAGAGGGACTTTAATATGGTGAATCAGTGATAAAGGGCTGAAAGAACCAATAGGGGAAGGTGTGTTAACCCCACATTAGCAGCCACAGGGAGTTGCTAGGCCTAAAGGGACGGACGGAGAAAGTATTGTGGCCAAAGCACAGAGGGCAATGGCCTCTGGTGGCAGCTGGGACCACAGAGCTGAGGCTCTCATGAGGAGTCCTCGTGGAAACCGGAACCACAGAGGAGATAGAGCCACTCCTGGAAATATTGCCCAAAGCAGAAAGGCAGGGGGAGAAATTCCCTGGTTTCTCCCTTCTACTGCCCTCCAACCTCCTCTCAGTATCTTCTACGGGATGAATTCACAGGAATTCACAGGCAACGTGTTCTGGGAAATGTAGTTTGCACAAGTCAGTCCCCTTTCATTAAAGAGCCAACTAGAGAAAGGGCAGGAAATGGAACCAAGTGTGAAGAGGTGAGTGGTGAACACATCCAGGATGCTTTTTGTGAGCCTACAACCTGTATTCTTACGGAGACCTTTCAAAAGTTCCAGAGATGGGATGTCAAGGTTGGCCAACTCAGCAGCTGACATGGCCACTAGACATCTGGTTAGCACAGTTACAACACGTCAAGTGTGCTAGCAATGGGATTCCCACTTGGCTGTGGGAGTGGACAAGACAGCAAGCACAACAGTGTCTTAATCAGCAACCACCGAGCGCAGCATTCCAGGTACCGTGCAGGAACAATTCGAGACATTATTTCATTTCATTTCATTTCATTTTGTTCTCACAACACTGTCCATATAAGTAATAATGCTGCTACTCTCTTATATGAATGGTGCCCCTGGAGTTGTGCAACATGTGGCCTAGAATGTAGGCAGGACTATACCCATTTTGCAGATGAACAAACTGAGGTTCAGAGATTGAATGACTAGCTCAAGACCACATAGCTTGTAAGTGGCAGAGACTAAATTTAAACCCAGGCCTGCTGGCTTCAAGCCCTGCCCTCTCTATAGCACACTAAGCTACCTACTAGCTTTGGGGGCCCTGGTTCTATGGTCGAATACTATTCCTTCTTAGCTAGTGTAACAATCTGCGAGTCGTACTTTCTAACAACAGCAACAAAACTTCTTTTTTTTTTTAAATTTATTTAATATTATTATACTTTAAGTTGTAGGGTACATGTGCATAACGTGCAGGTTTGTTACATATGTATACTTGTGCCATGTTGGTGTGCTGCACCCATCAACTCGTCATGAACATCGATGCAAAAATCCTCAATAAAATACTGGCAAACCGGATTCAGCAACACATCAAAAAGCTTATCCACCATGATCAAGTGGGCTTCATCCCTGGGATGCAAGGCTGGTTCAACATTCGCAAATCAATAAACATAATCCAGCATATAAACAGAACCAAAGACAAGAACCACATGATTATCTCAATAGATGCAGAAAAGGCTTTTGACAAAATTCAACAGCCCTTCATGCTAAAAACTCTCAATAAATTCGGTATTGATGGAACGTACCTCAAAATAATAAGAGCTATTTATGACAAACCCACAGCCAATATCATACTGAATGGGCAAAAACGGGAAAACAAAACTTCTTAGAAAGCTTCTGTGATAGAAGATATCAAGCAACTTTGGGACATGATCTGCTTCAGAAGTTCATATTGCTACATGGACAACATCATCCAAACTAAGATGCTCTGTGAAACTGCCAAGTGTGAGACCAGGAATTAAGTTGCAGCAACCACAGAAACATGACCCACACCTTCATGAGCCAAAAAGCTGCCATTCTGTGCCTGAATTCACTCTGAGAGGGTACACGGCTCTCAGGATGAATGAGACTCTTGCCTGTATGATCAGGAGAGAAACTATTTAAACACGACATATCCCATCCCCAAGTTTTCTGGCAGAGGCATCGCCTACAAGTGGTAAACGAGCAATAGATAAATGCCCATGGTTATTACTTTACAGGGGATGGAGTCAAAGTCCTGTTCATAACAAGAATATATATTCCTTACATGGACTGGAGAAGGCATTTCCTTGTGGAAAAGGCTAGATAGTTAGAAGAAAATCAGTTGTTAAGATGGCCTATTTTGTTCAGCTTCTGTTCTTCAGGGCAGACTTAAGCAGCAACGCCATGGTTAGGATGGGCTGAAACTAGTGTTGAAGCACCCATTATCACACCAGCCCCTTGTAGGTATGTCTATCTAAATTCCTAGCATACCAGAGCTGCTGCACGCACTGTGGAGTCAGCAGCAGCCTGAATAGAGGAGGAGCCATGGACACTTGAGTGGGGCCTGAGGTAGCAAAGTTTGTAAGTCACCAGGGACTGTGGCTTTGTTATCCTCCAAGGAGTGTGCCCCAAGAATGGTTCTGGGGGCCCTAAATAAGAAAGATTTCAAGAGATGACCCTGGGAGGGAGATGATGTGAAGAGAATGGGAGTTTAGAGTATCTCAGTTTAAAAATGGACAGGATTTACAGGGCTGGACTTCAAGAATTCTGTTTTATTTACTCTGAACAAGAAGAGAGTAGAAAGCTTGGAGAAGGGACAGATGGAGCTCTGGAGTGAAAGTCAAAGAGACCATATAATAGGTGACCCAGGTGCTTAAAAGGCAAGGTAGTCCTGAATAGGGACATGCCAGAGACTTGGTCTCCTATCTTTGCTGCAGCTACATTGAACATCTCAGTGGTCCTTAGATGCTCCAGGCTGCCCGTCACTCCATCTTTGCAGGTGCTATTTCTTTTGCCTGGGAAACTCCTATTCCTCCATAAAACCCTATTAATTATTTCTCCTGGGATCCCATAGCATGTTATTCAAGCCTGCTACAGCACTTGGCAGCTGCTTTGAAATTTGTCTTTTTACATTGCCAACTTTCCCACCAGTGTTTTTTTTTTTTTAATCACAGAGCCTATGTTCAACAAACATACTAAGTAATGCCACCTCCCCTACTCTAGTATTCTTGGCCTATATTCAGTGTATGAGTTTATGGAAAAATTTACTCTTCAGTGAAAATACACAGAAAAGAAGGGACAAGCCCAAGCAAACAGGTGCTTCATTGCTCTAAATTTAAACTCAAACTTCTCTCTGAAAATGTATGCCTTTTTCATTTATTCATTCAGCCATTATTTGCAATATGAATGTTTTCAAATGTGATATTTTCCAACGGGATATGATTAACAGGTTTTTGCCTGGTTACGTGACTTGGTTCTATTACCTGTAATACTGTATTTTGATTTGTGTTTATGACCATTTCTTCCTTCCAACTATGAAAGCCTCAGTTTCTGAGGCTATTTCTGATTCACCTCTAGATCCCATGGCTTAGCACAGAGCATCACAGATATACAGCAGAGACTCAATACACGTTGTTGGTTAAGTTAGTGAGTAAAAGATATCCTAAAGTGGGTTTATCCTAGACAATACAGAAAGTATTGTTGTGCAAGTTTTTTAAAGAATAAACCTGTGCTTTGGGCCTGTGGGTCTTGCTTATTGCCCTCTGTGAGTGGAGGAAATGTTCGTACTGACTGGGGGATCAAAGATTGCAACTGGAAAGGGGTGATGGAAAATGGCTGCCCACCTGGGCTTGAGACTCAGAGGCAGAAATTTTAAAAGCTAATGGATCTTGAGAGTAGTCTTTGAAAATAACATTAAAGACATGAGAGACTGGTACCCAGACCACTGGAGCAGGAGTATTCATCTAGGTAATTTAGTTCTGGGTTTACAGCCAAGAATAAATCCCAGAAGAAAGAACAGTATGTCAGCATTGTAGGACAGAAAATGTCCATGCCTAGACCTTCTTAATATAAAACAGGGTCTGCTTTTTAGTTTAAGTTTTCCAACTTATTTTGCTGGTGGGTGATTGGTAGGGATTTATGAAAGAACTGGAATTTAGATAGACATATCTTCTAATTATTCTCTCCTAGCAAATCTCACCAGGCTGAGGGCATTTGGATTAAAGAACCACTCAAGATCCTCTGCATAATTCCACTTGACATGACACAAGTCAACTTAACTCAACACAACACAACTCAATATAGGTTAATTAATCTAAACTCAACACAGCTCAACTCATCTCATCTCATTACAACTCAGCTCAACTCATCTCATCACAGCTCAACTCATCACAACTCAAGTCATCTCAACTTAATACAACTCAAGTCATCCCAACTCAACACAACTCAGCTCATCTCAACTCATTACAACTGAACTCAACACAACTCATCTCAACACAATTCGTCTCATCACAACTCAATTCAACTCAACTCATCACACCTGCAGTAATCTCAACTCATCACAGCTCAAGTCATCTCAATTCAACACAGCTCAACTCATCTCAACTCATCACAACTCTAATTCAACTCAACTCATCACAACTGCAGTAATCTCAACTCATCACAGCTCAAGTCATCTCAATTCAACACAGCTCAACTCATCTCAACTCATCACAACTCTAATTCAACTCAACTCAACTTCAATTCAACTAAACTCAGTTATACTTATTGTGTCAGGCACTGCACTCGGTTCTGGGGACCAGCTATGAACGAGATTCCATCACGAATCTCAAGGATGTGACTGTCTAGTAAAGGACTCACTGGAGAGTCCCTTTCCTTGAGGTACCCCCTGCCACCTGTCTGTGGATTGCTTATTGCCTGACTGCCTTGTGGCCTGCAGAAAAGCCACACAAAATAAAAACTATAAACATTGGACCTGAAAAGAAGCCACTAGGCCAGGTTACCTCATGTCCTCTGTCCTGGGACTCCTCTGGCCCATGCAGAAGCATTGCTGGAAGAAGTGGCACAGCTCCATCAGGCATGGATTGAGCCTCTGAATAGCCAGGGTGAGAGGAGCGGCAGCCATGGCTCCCACCTTGAAGAGCGGCTGAGGACACCCTAGAAGATGCAATCCCAGACCAATCAAATCAGTAAGAGTTTAGCAAGCATCTTCTCTTTGTTAAGCTCTGCTCCAGGTGAGTATAGTCTTGTCCCGATCTCAGGTAGCTCTGAGACAGTCAGGTAAACATAGCATTCCTCACCATTACCCAATAAAGCTACTGTGAGAGTTTTAAGAGACAGGTGGAAAGAAGGTGGTGATCAAGTTCCTGGAGGAAAACAGAGATAGTTTCACTGAAAAGCAAATATTAAACAGAGATCTAAGATGTTGAACAGAAATGCATCAGGTGGAGGACACTTCTGATGTCAGGGACAGAGCATACAATGACTCTGCATGATGTAAGGGGATGACTTGCTGAGGGGGATTGGAGAAAACTTTGAGTATGGGGGTATGAAGTATGTATATGCATGTGTGTGCACAGGGTACATGTGTGTGCATGTGTGTGTATATGTGCACGCATGTGAGAGCATATGGATATGTGTTTGCCTGTGTGTGAGCATGTGTGTGCATGTGTATATGAGTGTAAGAAGGAAAGAAGGAAGGGCAGGTTGAAAGATGAGACTGGCATGCTGGGTCACTGGAGAGTCAGGCTCTGAGTTTGTGAGTTCTCTGTTTCCATCAAGTGAAAGTTAATTATGTTTCCGTGAACCAGATTTTTCAGTGTTGTTTAATTTTTAGTTTTTAGGAGAAGGAAGGCCAAAGATAAAAGAAGGAGAGAACAAATTAGTTTTAATAAAAATTCCAACTCGTTGGGATCTACTGAGGCTCAGAAAGCTATCTATGGGTACACCTACATTTCTTTACTGGAAAATAGGAAGACCCATCCCTATCGCATAGGATGACTGGAAGGATTAAATGAGACAATTTATTTAAAGTATATTGCATATTGCAAAGTTGTTGGCATGAAACAAACAATAAATAATAGCAATTATTATTATTATTATTTATTAAAACAGTATTGAGCTCCACTGCAAGCTAAGCACTGGTGACAGCCACTAGAGCTACCGCAATGAATAAGAAGAAAAAGGGCCTTCCTCTCACAGAGCTTACTTTCTAGGGACTAGAAGGTTATATTACAACATTACTAATAACCTTCCAACAAAGGTTCACTAATCACTATCAGGAAAAATTATCTAAAACCTGGAAATAAACAAAAAGGATTACTGAATATTCTTTTAATGCAGTTTTGGTTATTGTCTAGCAGACTCTCTGGGGACTGTCTGGGTAAAAAGAATTGTGCACCATTAATTGACTTTCTATTGAATGCGTGATTTTACAACTATCAAGAGGTAGATGTTAACTGATAGCAATATAAATAATTCTTGTCTAAGAGCAATGCTAATGATTTCTGTCCATAGCAATGTAAATGAATTTTGTCTGGTAGAGGTGCAATTGATTTTTGTCCAGTAAAAAAAAAGAGTTTATTGCTGTGGGATATCAATTCATTTGAGAATTCCTTTGAGTGACTACATAAATCTTTTTCCCTCAAATTTCGCATTGAACCAATCTTCACATCTTTCTGGTTTCCTCATTATTTAATGAGTTCGATAATATCTTTGACATGTTGACATGTGCTCATTTAATATTATTCTGTCATGTTTGAACATTTTTCAAAATTATAGTTTATCAGTAATTACTTATTTTTATTTTTTGTTTCTTGTAGAGATTTCTTGCTACGTTGCCCAGGCTGGTCTGAAACTCCGGGGCTCAAGTAATTTTCCCACCTCAGCCTCCCAAAGTGCTGGAATTACAGGTATGAGCCACCACATCTGGCCAGTAATATATTTATTTAAGTGAAGAAGGGGCTCATAATGTTAGCAGACGACTTTTTAAAAAGGTAGAAAGAAAATACTTTATTCTGAGTTAACTAGAACATAAACCCTCCAGAACATTGATCAATTTGATCAATGTGCCCCGACTTTTTCTCTATCAGTTATTGAGCAGTTGCTACATATCAGACACTCTCTTAAGATCTTTGCCTACATTATTTTATCTAATTCTCATAAATCTTGTAAAGTAGACATCAGAAGTATACAGAAGAGGACACAGAGGTTCTGAGTAATTCTGCAGTTGTATCAGTTATGCAACAGAGAGTAACTCCAGCAAGGTCTGACTCTGAAGCCTGTGCTCATAACCATCACACTTCACTACTTGAAGATAATCAACATTCCCAAGGCTTGATTTCCATGCCCCTTGCCCCGTCCCATCCCATCCGTCCTTCTCTAACTCAGGAAATGATACTTGGGATATCCACTTAGTTGCTCAAACTTGGGCATGATTTTTGGTTCCCTCCTGTGCTCACTCCACCATCCTCTTGGGTTCCATCTCCTAAATATCTTCCAAGTCTCCCTATCCACACAGTCACTTCCACTTTCCAGTCACCATCACCAGTGGCCATCATTAGCACAACAGTCACCTCGCAAGTTTCCCTGCTCCCAGCCTCTCCCGTTCCTCCCCATTCTGCAGTCAGAGAAACCTTTCTGCAATGCAAATCTGATCACATTACTTTCACTTGCCTCAGAATTCTACACTCCTTGACATGGTGACAAAGCCCTGTTAATCTTACTCTTTGCTACCTCTCTAGCCTCATTCCACACTACCCTCACCTTCAGCACCTTCAGCATCAGTCCTTTTAAGGTATAGTGCCTTTGCTTGAGCTATGCCTTTGCTTAGAATGCACCTTGTTCAGATGCCACATTCCCAATCAATAAACTTTTGAACCATCCCCTCACCTGAAGGTAATCTCTTCCTCTCTGGATATACATAGTTTCTACTTCTCTTAAGAATCTAGCCACTTTTTTTCTCAATTGCAGCTTTTTTCTTTTCTTCACATGTGGTATATCTTCGGAAAGGTGACACAGAGGTGTGGAATAAGCACAAGCTTTAAAATTAGATCTGGGGTCACATGTAGTCTCCTTTTATATGTAGAACTCACCATAATTCCTTAATGAGATATTGCCTCTCCTGCAGAATTATTGTGAAGAGAAAGTAAAAATAGGCCTCGCATAGTGCCTAGCAGTACAGTAGGAGCTCAATAAATATTTATTAAATGGATGAATGAGTGGATGCCAAATATTCTGTGGCATGATTTTTTTTTTTTTGGATGAACAGAATAAGTTACTGAGAAATGCCAGAATCCCTTTAATTTACAATTGTATTTTTCACTACATAGGTAGATAGATAGATGACAGACGGATAGGCAAATATCTATGATACAGAAGTTAAGAAATAATGATAACTAGATAGAAAGATAAATAGGTATGGATGGATAGACGGGTTGATGAAAGGATGGATGGATAGATAGCTTGGATAAATATCTATTAGATAGATGACAGAGGAGTGGGTAGATTAATAGATAGATAGATATGGTAAATAACTATGAGGTAAGTAGATAGAGCTAACAAGAGAGACAGATAGATATACCTATACAGATAGCTATAGACACATGGATATAGATACAGATATAGATATAGATATGGAAACAGACACCAATATAGATATAGATATAGATATAGTCATCCTGTTTTCTAAAACTCGGTCTCACAACTGCCTCCATCTGCACCACTGTGTTTCTTTAGAACTCCTGGGAGAAAAGGGATATAATTTCCTTAGTAGCACAATCACATCTTTGTGTCTGAAAGCTTCATTCACTATTCATTGCAGGCTGAGAGTAAGGCTGGGGCAGATCTAAGGTGACATGAAAAAGGAGAGGGGGCAGGGTCCAGCAGTTTAATAATGCCCTGTTGACATATGACTGGATGGTCCAGGAGCTGGTGTACAAAGGTATTCAGGAGTGGGAGGAGCCTGAGGACTCAAGCAGCTTTGAAGCACTCACTTTGTATCCATTTCTTTCTTATGGAAACTGGCTCAACAGAAAAGAGGAGAGTGAGATGTCCAAAAGCTGGAAAAATGCATCAAAAACCACAATAACTCAAGTCCTCAGCCTCTATCAGGAGTTCTGGAAACAGAGCTACAGACCCAGGAAATGGTCTTTTTCTAGATCCATGAGAATTAACTGTGCAGGGATGGAAAGGGTAGGGTATCCCTTAACACAGAACAACAGGACATCACACCCAGCAAATGAAGTTGCATTTTGGAGTCATCTTTTTTATTCCTTCCTCCTTCACTGCTATCAACCCTGCTCATTGCAAGAGCAGCTTCTGTTTGCAAAGTGCCCAGCATGCTGCCCAATAGACAGTCACTCGATAAAAGTTGATTGAATTAAGTTCTACAGAGCTCTTTACTTCCAAACCACTTCCACAAACATTATCTTACTTAATACAAAACCTTGTGGGAAAGAAAAAAGAAACAGGCATTTTTAGTGCCCACAAAAATTGCAATTATTCTTGCTTTACAGTTGAGGGAACTGAATCCTGGAAGTTGAGTACTGGAGGCCACCTCACCAGTAAATGGCTGAGCTAAGATTTGAATCCCAGGAGTCTGATTCTAAATTTACCAAACAAACCTCTCTTTATTCTACTACAAGACCTTGTTCAAAATAAACACAAGCAATAGTAATAACTGGGCACTGGT